TGCAATGTTTAAGAAAAGTATTTAATTAATATTTTCAAAAACTAAATTAAATTAAATGCGATAAAAATATGACAACACGATTTCATTATTGATTGAAAAAAAAACGTAATGACAGGAACTTTTTTTTCAATCATACCGAATATTACGAACGAATTAAAGACATAAAGCAGTCCAAAATAACGCTAATCACAGCCGGAAAAAAAAGAAGTGCAAAATATTATAGAAATATACGTTAATATGACGTTATTGTTATCAATGGTAAAGATCATCTTATTAGAATTATGGCCAATTTTACGGAGAGTTTGTGTTATTGTGTGAAAAATTAAGAGCTTTTCAATATAATTAATTTTATACATACAGCAATCAGCCATGGAGGCCGTAACCGTGTGTTGGTTAAACTTAAATTAAAATATGCCAATATTTCAAAGAAAATAATAATGGCTTACTCTATTGTAATAAATAATAATAAGTAAATAATAAATAATTTTTAATTATTTAATATTTTAATATAATTCCACTGTTTAGCCTTAATTGCCTTATTTTTCTTAGGAACTAACGTCAATTGCTAGTCATTTATGACAATCCCATGCTAAATCAGGCATTGTCGTTGTTGACTAGCCATTATAGATGTTAATTAACTATCATATTTTCCGGTAATATATTTAAATAAATAAAACTGATATTAAATTAATGAAAACAACTTAGTAATATACATCAATAAAAAAAATAAAAATAAATCATAATTGGTTGGACTTAATTCAAATTACTTTAGTTAAATTAATTTTTAATCCAGATAGTATTAAAGATATTATACATTCAGAAAATAAAAAAGAATTATTACAACTGTAGCTATAGTAGGATCATTTTTATTTATTCAGTTTTTATTAATAATACCTTTTATACGTGTAATGAAATATGGTTTTATGAAAATTGAAATAGATGAAAAATAAAATTAATTAAACGCCTGGCAAATGACGGAAAACACAGGAGATACAAAAAAAAGTTAATCTTTGCTCGTTCCTCATTGACAGCCAATGAAAACCTAATTATTTTTATCTGAAGGACTGTTATTCAAAATGAATTTTACAAATATTTATGTTAATTTATTTATTAAATATGTTAAATTTTGTATTAGAATATTATTGTAAATGCAGATTTATAACCAGGTTATTATTATCAGCATTATAAATTAAATGTTTTTTTTTCAATTATCTAGAAAAATACACAGCAAGTTATTTTATTAGAATCAATTATAGTATTTTTACCGAAATTACTACTAAACTAGTGTACCATATTTCCCGCAGTGTGATATTTATATTTACTTCCAAAAAATCACCATTTACATTTTTTAGGTACAATATATATATATAAGGTATGTCAAATGCATAGGTAATATATCTTATTAAATTCAATGGTAAAGCAAGAAATGTTTTTCCTTTTTTTCTGTGAGTACTCTTTTAAGTAGTAAATATTCATCGAGTTCTGCTGAAGGTTCTTTAGAGACGTCGATTTTTGATTTCCTCTTTAGTCTCAAAGTATTAAGAAATATTTATAATTTGTTTAAAAATGTATAAAAGTCTGTACATTAATCATGAAATTAATCTGAGAAATATAAAATCAAGTATATTATTTTATTATATAAACAAGAATTTATAACTTATGTAATTATAATATAAAATACTTCTATTTAACTATTTTGGTAAAATACTTAAAATTAATTTTATCTCTTAAGGTTTATCCTATGATTTGAAGTATGTATTTATCACGAATATCTTAGCAAATAATTCTGTCTATAGAACATAATATTTGTATGTGCTGTACATAAAATAAAGTTAACAGAACTTTTCTCCGAATCGTTTTTCGAATTGAGCGTGATATATTGCTTTCAGATTTAAAGGCATCCTCTAAAGTTGCCGCCTCACCCTTGTGTTTCAATCAAATAATTTCAGCGTATTAACGGTAAAAACATATTATTTAGCACTCGGATTTATATATTTTTATTTTTGTTACACTGACATACTACTGTGTTTGTTATATTCCTTATATATCTCTATGTGTGTATTATAATATATAACCATCAGATTATTAAATTTGATAATAATTTCAAATAATTTATTTATACACTACCAAGCAATTGTTTTTATTAAATCTCTCGAGTTTCATGATTATAGTTGTCGTCGTTGTCGAGTGCAATTCACGAATCACGATGGACTGAAAAACAAACGTGCTTAATATTTTATTTTCAATAATTATAAGTGGAAAGTGCATAAAAAGGCATCTATTGAAATTGATGAGCTGTTTATTTTTTTTTTTTCAATTATTGACGATGATATTTTATGAGAAAAATCAAAGCAATTAGTATATATTTATAGGAAAGATTTAGAACCGGACCTTGAGAATATTATACAATTTAAAACAATAATAAACTATTTTTTAGAAGATGAAAAATTATCTATGCACAGTTTTCTTGTAGCATTTATACTATCAAAGTTGAACGATTCATTTCCTACTGTGGAAATAGTTTTAAAACTTTTTTTATCTATACTATGTTCAAATGCTAGTGGAGAGAGATCCTTCTCAGTTTTAAAAAGAGTCAAGAATTACCAGAGAATACTATAATTATCTAATGAAAATATGTCATCGTTGGCTCTAATGTCTATTGAGAATATTATCCTAAAAAACAGATTTAAATTATATTATTAAAGAGTTTGCTACTCAGAAAGCTAGAAAATAGTTGTACATTTCTTATATTGAATACATTTGTATTAAAATGTTTGTATTTAGTACATAATAAAATTTATAAATTTAAAAAGTACCGATGTTACTTGTTGTGTATACGTACATATATATATATTGATTTGTGGAGGGGATTGAAGGGCGGAATTTTAAAATCTGCCCACATGCGACAAATTTGTTAACCCGGCACTGTAGGTGTGACATATTTTAAATCGTACTTGATAATGTGTCAATACGAATATTTAATTTTTCTCGTTACTCTAAATTTATGTTCATTTCTTGTATCCTCGCTTCTACCAAACGTGTTCATTTAGAGTGGTGTACGTATTAATATATGCATTATTTTATAATATTTCTCGAGGCATTTTGTTAGTCAATTCGAACACACTATTCAACTTTTATTGTAATATTGTGTATAATATAAACTGAATGCAATTAAACTCTTTCAACAAAAGTATAAGCAAACATTTTTACTAAAAACATTAGTATAGCAAAATAACACTTTGATACTGAAATATGCAAAAGTATTCAATGAAAAAAATTTGTATATACTAAATTTGTTAGTCGGAAATAAATTTGAATCTTACTTATATTATTTCGTAATAGAATAAAACAAATATGCAAATACCATAAATCTTAAACATGAGACTAATGAATATGAAATTCCCAAATTACTCGTTATAACCAAATTAATTGTTTTTACAGTTATTTTTATTTTACCGTTTTACCTATGGAAATTGATTATGTTTTATTTGGGATTCGATTTTTCGCACTTAAATAATATATAAATATAGATTTTTTTTAATTTTTTTATCGTGATTTAAATAACTTATAAATTTTGACATTGTATTAATAAATTTGTAGATTTTTAAAATAAAAATTGTTTTTAAAAACAAACAATATAATATTATAAAAATATTTAATGTATTAAATGAATAATAAAAAATAATAATAATAATAAATAATGAACGGATATTGAGTAGCAAAATATAAAATTACTTCAATAAAAAAGAAGTTTTATATTTGAATTACAAAAGGTTCTTAGGTTTTTTAGTAGTAGACATGATTGACAATTTTTATTCTCATATCAATACCGTTTTATATTTCATATTGAAAAATATACTTACCTATGTATTTTTATTAAACAAATTATTATAATTTAGTTGATTATAAAAAAATCATAAAATATATCAAATAAAGCATTAGTAAACTTAGATATGCGTTCACTTTTGTAGGAAAATTTTTCATACACGAAAGACAAAAAAAAATTGGTGATAAAAGTATATGTCAAGTGGTCTACAAAGTTGCTAAACGAACCGTCTCAAATGGCTAAAGTTTTATTTTATTGTAGACTAACTGAGAATTGTTTTTGTGGTTAGGTTTCGTTGTGTAGCTAAAATATGCTTAATGGAAACTTTGTGTTGTACAAATAAAATATAATGTCAACATAGAATTCCAAATGTATAGTCGACATAAAAGGTTTTACTAAATTCTTATTTACTGTAATTAAATTATTGGGATTGTTTGTCCAATTTTATTATATTTGTAGATACCTGACTCAAATATATAAATTATTATAATAACTTGTACGATAAATAACATTTTTACATTATAATTGATAGTACATATGAATGCATAATTTAATTTCCCTACGTATTACCGTCTTATACTCGTATGTAAATTCTAAATAATAAAGTAGAGATAGAAGAAAAACTTACAATTTAACTAACTGTAACTCACAATTTCCGTATTTCAATATGAATTATACACCTATATTGTTATTTATGGTACTGACGAAACCTCTAACTCACATAATCAAATAATGATACTATACATTAATAATTTATATTTACCCGAGTTGTAATTTATCATGTGCAATATAATTCCAAGAAAGTCTCAAAGGGATTGTTTCAAAACACCCCTCCGGGCATTGATTATAATACGCAAGTTTGCCGTCTTCCATAAATGTCCGAGCGAGAGACAGTCATTTCAGATATCGTCCAAGAAAATTCGCTTTTAAGTCCAATTAAATAAACCTGAGTTCCATTTATTGACATTGTCCGGGTTTATTTAATCGCCGTTGAGAGTTATTGTTGTTATACCGTATGTTGTTTTTATTTGGTTTACATAGGGTTTTAATGCGGCTCTCCTTGATCTGTGCTCTCTAAGTTGGAGTACAGTCAACTCGACATTAATGATAAACATAATAATATTAATGATCCATTAATAATAATAATATTTATGTAAAATGCTTGATGTTCCAGTCGCTGATGCAAGCCCACGATGTAGCGGCTCATGAGATATTCGGTGAAGAAGCTGTTCGAGTGACGCCGCCGTTGGTCTTGCCGTATTTGAACGGCAACGGCATCGATGATGGCGAAAACGGTCTGGACGACGACATAGAACCCGAGAACGTCACGCGCGTCAGACTTGTACAATTCCAAAAGAACACCGACGAGCCAATGGTACGTTTTGAGTTGTAATAATGCATGTGTAGGTATAGCGGTATCTCTTGTATTGATTGTTGTAAATAAAATTTAATTGCGCTTAAATAGTGCGAAAATTACGCGGTAAAATTTTAAGGATACACAAAAAAATACGCACTAAATTTTTTATTCCAAAATGCATTTTGAAAGATGAAGGTTGATTTAAAAATAATATTTTTTTTTTTTTTATAAATAAATTGAAAACACTTATTAATAAAATACATAATAAAATAATAAAAAATTAAATTAGTATTATAAATATTAAATATATATTCAAAAATATTAATTTGAAACCGGTCGTACTCTACAAATATAATAATACTCTAGACTAAGTATTTATTTATTTATCATAATATATATTAATAAAAAACCTTTTTATTTTATAATATTGTTACTACAATTCGTTGTTATTTCTTTACATTATTATTCTTTATGTTAAATATTTTTATTTTATATATTTAAATGTTTTTCTATTAACTCTTGAAAATAAACACCAACAGTTTTATATAATTTATAAGATCTGAAACCGGATATTGCTTGTAACTACGACATTTTTTAATGTCTCAATTTCTTTCAGATTTTCTTCCGTGTACTTATTAAAAATACTATAAAAAAAAAAATTGACGTTTTAAATTGTTTGTGTCTATTTAAATACATAAGATTTTATTAAATACTTTTTTTGAATTTATTTAAGTATATTAAGTGCGCCCGTATACGTCGTGATACATTTTAGTTTGACAATTAATAGTTGAAATTAACCGCGTTCGTTTACGTGGATTTTGACGGTTATATCATTATTTCAATCTTAGATTTTTCTTTCTAATACTTTAGTGTTGGCAATGTTCCGTAAATTTTTCTTGAAATATCTCTTATAGGTAAAATATGATCTCATAAAATTAAACCCAGATTGTACTTCGCAATGAAGATTTACAGATATTCTCAGTAATAATATTTATTATTGATATATTTTATAATAATACATCGAACGTAGTATGTGTAATGAATTTGATTGTACTACAGATCAAATTCCAAAACGTACGTTTTGATAGCATTTTCTAATTATATACTTCAACTCGTTCGGATTTAATGACAAAATTAATTGACAATTTACATATTGAATAGTAATGTAATTGTATGTGTATGTGTGTATTTATGGACGTAAAAAGAAAAATTTAATTCATTTCGCTTTCAGGGTATAACGTTAAAAATGAACGAAGACGGCAAGTGTGTTGTCGCGCGCATAATGCACGGTGGCATGATTCATCGTCAAGCCACACTGCACGTCGGAGACGAAATCCGAGAAATCAACGGAATATCGGTGTCTAACCAATCCGTGGGAGCGCTTCAGAAACTTTTGGTCGGTATAAAATGCTCTTGTTACATTTATACGTCCGTAGTGGTTTAATTTTTTTTTTTTTTTTTACAATGGTCTCGCCAATGCGCGTGTACATACATACGTTATAAAATAGTACGTTGTTCTATTGGTTTTTCAGAGAGAAGCCAGAGGATCCGTCACTTTTAAGATAGTGCCATCCTACAGAAGTGCACCGCCACCATGCGAGGTACAAGTAAGCCCATGTGAACTCTATCCGGTGTTGGCCAAATTAAAAAATCATCCATCCATCGATTAATCCTCATTAATACAGAGGAACCATTGAATCGTTACATTATTTTCCCTGTTATCGATTTAAATCTAAATTTTTATGTTCTTCATATGCTTATATAGTTTATATAATTATAAACGTATTATATGTGTACATATACACAAAATAAATTTACCATTTATTCAAAACTTCCACCATAATTTCTAATATTATGTGATCTATTTTTTGAATTTGGTCCACGTCAGGCATAGAATTTCTATCTAACATATTTTGTATAATATATACGTTTACAGTTTGTATAATAGCTTATCAATATTGACTTTGTTTTCAAATATTTGATCTTTTTGTGTTTTTTTTTTTTTTAACTTATGCTCACTCATAGTTGTTCAGGATAAAGCCATTACCTGTGATTGTAAGTACAAAATGATTTCATCAGCTTATTACATTTCTTGAGAATGCCATGTAGTTAAATTTTATTTTCTTCTGCAATAATATTTGGTTCAAATTATGATGATGTAGTTAGATTTCTTTAAAATCGTATTTTTATTACTATTTTCCTATGTACTGAAAATGCACACAACTTCTCAATACTTCTGATCATATTATTATTTAATCCCTTTTTTTTTCTCAAACTCAAATTTTATATTATATTTTAATTTAACATTATAATAGTTAAAGTATCAAATATCGTACTAACAATTAAATACGTATACATTAATCAATTATTATACTTAAAACCATCATAAGATATTTTAATATACCATACTTGATACTCTAACACTATATTTAATCGAATTTATGATACGATACTTAAATAATTTACTTATGAAAAAAGGCTGTCTATATAATATAAAAATAAAAGTTACAACTATTGCCTTTAGTTTAAAGTATTTATTATTTATTTATATTTGTATTAACTATTTGATATTTGTTTCTTTATTATAGTTATATTTTTATCATAATAAAGTGTATTATTTTTGATTAATTTAAAATAAATTACTATTTATTTTTTTATTTATCCAACCATCCTATCCGTATATCAATGTGTTCCATAGATATTTGTTCGTGCTCAGTTCAGCTACGATCCCCTTCAAGATGACTTAATACCATGCGCACAAGCTGGTATAACGTTCAACATTGGAGACATATTACAGGTATAGATCTTTTATTTTTCTATATTAAAAATTATTTACTATAAATAATGGTTATTTCACTATTTTTAGATAATTAGTAAAGACGATCATCATTGGTGGCAAGCCCGCAAAGACAACTCAGCCGGTTCAGCTGGGCTAATACCATCGCCGGAACTCCAGGAATGGCGTATCACCTGTAAAGCTCTAGAAAATTCCAAACACGAACAAGGTATAAATTGTTATTTATGGACTTTTCGGGTTTTCGTGTGACTTGGTATTTTATAATTTTTTTCTCGTGCGTTCCTAAAATATGTGTTGCTTGTGTGTTTCTATTTTATAACTTTGCCGTACCAAAGAATCCAGTTGCTCGTCACACGAAGGGTGTGATGGTACCACCGGTAAGGTTTTTGCTTCTTGTAATTCAATAATTTTTGTTTTTTTAGATAATGTCATTATATAATAGTAGTGTCAGACATTTCCTAGAATTAACAAAATGTTTAATACTTATATATTTATATATAATGATTATTGTAAATATTTTATAATGTACTCGTATACCGATATTTTCATATTTTTGTTATTTATATTTAATTTTTCCAATGGTTTGGCAAGTTTGAAAACTAATCGGATTTTTGTTGTAGTTAATTGCTCAATATTCGGACGTAAAAAAAAATTAAAAGAAAAATATCTAGCCAAACACAACGCTGTATTCGACCATATTGACTTGGCCACTTACGAAGAAGTAGTTAAACTACCATGTAAGCTTATTGAACATTGTGCTTATGTCACACGTAGCATAATAATATAACTATATTTTTTCGTTCAAGCGTTCCAACGGAAAACGTTGGTTCTTCTTGGTGCGCACGGGGTCGGCCGGAGGCATATAAAAAACACAATCATCCAAAAACATCCGGATAAATACGCTTATCCTATGGCTCGTGAGTAAACAAAAAAATCTACGAAAATTCATAAACGCAACATAATATTGTAATGCTTATAAATATTTATTTTTTGTTTCTCGTGATCAAGATACAACAAGACCGCTGAAATCGGGTGAAGAAAACGGCATAGCTTATTATTTCGTTACGTACGATGAGATGATGACCGACATCAACGCGCACGAGTACTTGGAATATGGTAAGATAGACCTTCCCTCCATAATAGTATACATGTTAGCTCCTAGGCCTCATTGTCTCGTCCGTGGAGCTATTTTGTAAATCGATGATACTTTTCCAACGCAAGTGTAATGACATGAATTGTTAAGTAGGCACCCACGATGACGCCATGTATGGCACGAAGCTCGACACGATCAGAAAAATTCATCAAGAGGGCAAGATCGCCATACTGGACGTCGAACCCCAAGCGCTGAAAATATTGCGCACAGCCGAGTTCGCGCCGTTGGTTGTATTCATTGCTGCCCCGCCACACCGATCACTCACAGATGTGAGTGTCAGTACAGTTTTTGCGTATCTTTAATAAATGGCATTGTGTTTTCGCACTCCATACCGCATAGACATAATAAAATAATAACTAGATTGACCGCATCTACCTATACATATTGTATTATAAATAAATTATTCTCGTTGTATCAATAGTTTGTCGATAATTAATGAACAATTACTAACTAACATCAGTTATAGTGTTCATATCGATCATTGTCAATATTGCTCTGTTGGAATATAGCTGCGCGATCCATGAACAGTGTGTAGTCGGCCGTCTAGTTTTTTTATGTATTTATTTGTGTCTATGCTCGATACCACGATGTTTATGTTGTTATTGTCCATGAAATTGTTGATCTATGTATACAGTTTGATGGAAGTCTAGAAAAACTCGCCAACGAATCCGAACTGCTCCAACGTGCGTACGAACATCTGTTCGACATAACTATTGTCAATGAAGACATCGAAGAAACCATTGATGAACTGGAAAGGGTAATGGACCGAGTGCACTCAACGCCACAATGGGTGCCTGTTGCATGGGTATATTAAATTTTAAACGTAAGTATACTACACTACTTACACTCCATAAGATTTTTCAAATATATATCATACAAATCGAACCGAACAATATTTACTCGAGAGATGAGTTTCTGTTGTTTTATTCACCCGGCGAGACAACGCTACGTTGTGCATTAAAAATCCACATGCATCTATCACAATTAGTAGCGTGGCAGAAATATTTTTAACCCCAGGGCGAAGTATTTATATATTTTCAATATGTGTCAAACCCGTCGCCATATGTATACGTGCGACGTTGTTAATGCACTTGTGATTATCTGCACCAGTTCGTGCCCATAATATTTTCGCCGCGCTATTGATCGTGAAAACATAATATATTGTAATCGTAAGAAACACATCACGTTTGTTTAGACAATTTAAATTGCAGTGACATAACCAAAATAATAGTACCCTAGCAATAGTAGGTCTAATAATTTCTCTCTCTCTCTCTCATACACATCTTGGTTTCCTGCGTATAAAAAATTACACAGTATGTTATTATATAAGTGTTTGGTCAAAATATATACGAGAGTGCGCATTCTACAAACAATATTTGTCTTTCTCCGCCAGAACAACGCATTAACTGGTATTGTAATGCCTTAAATATGAATGTTTACAAAATATTATAACTAAACTATTATTCTATAAGAGACAAAAATAAAGGAATACCCAATCATCTACATTTCAAAACCAATATAAGACAACAGTAAAGGTGATCGAGTAGTCGCAAGGTATTCGTGCTAACGAAAAGAGTTTAATTTTTATTTGTTTTACTGTAAGATTGAAGTTATTATAATCTATTATTTTTTTAAACAAAAAAAAATAAAAAATTAACTTTGTCGTGTACGCCACGAAAAGGCCTGTATATAACAGATATATTTCGATTATTGACGGTCTCAGACCGTCAACCATGTAAATATCAATACACTTGGTTAAAATTTATTTAATCATCCTTTTGTTGACCATGATAATGAATACTGCATAAAAGGATAAATTAACAAGTGCCACAGGATTTAAACTTTATAACTCTAAGGTGACTTTACTCTTGAACAACTGACCACGTTAACGAGTACTGGATGTTTGTGGATGAGATCTCTATAACCTAGACCAAATCGTAATATTTCTCAACTGATCACGATAACGAGTACTGAATGAGAAAACGTCTTGCTACTTTATAAAAATATTTTCTCACCACAAACGCTTCAGTACACTTACTAGAGATTAGATATTCCTAAAATATTAGAAAATATAAATGAAAAACAAGTATTCTATTTAAAACAAAAATGGATTATAATAACTTCAATCTTACAATAAAACAAATAAAAATTAAACTCGTAATCAAAACTTATCGTTATCTGCGACACCCCGCGACTGCTTGATCACCATTGCTGTTGCCTTTTATTGTTTTTACTATGTAGATGACCGACCATTCATTTATTTCCGCCTCGTATGGAATAATAGTTTACAGTTATAATATTTTGTAAACATTCATATATAGAACATTACAACACGGGCCTCCGAAATCGATTCACCCCATCACCGGTAACAAATTAACGAACTTACTCGGTACTATACACCGATTAAAACTGGATTATTGGAAAATATTTCATACCGCGTTCTAAACATCGTTTCCAGCAAGAGCGGCAGGATTTTAAAACTCTATCTTACACCTTTAAATGTCTTCCTTCTTCCAAAGTTTCGACGTTGATAATTTTTTAAGCCGATTTCAGTATCAATCTATAGTGAAATAGGCCCTAACTAAACTAAAGTTCTACATGGCTACTGGTTTTTAGACTTAACAAATTCTCTTTATACGAATGTCATAACATGAATCGCGGCGAAAATACCGTAATTCACAAATAATTCGATTAGCTTAGAACCATTATATAACGTTGGAAATAGATTGAATTGAAAACATTGGGGGACAATTACAGAGTATAATATGCACATCCGTATAAACCGTAAATAGACCTGTAACCTACGAATTTTTTTTTAACATTTCTATCAAGTTTGGTCTGTAGTAAAAATATATATATGTACTCGTATTATTTATTTTTTGAAAATCATTAACAAGAAAATACGAATTTTGGGAGACGCACGATCGTAAAATAATATTATTGCAACTTAATTTTTTTTATACCACTGCTTGGTCCCGTATTATGCCAATTATTACGCTACTAGTGAAGTTGTTTTATATTTTTACCCAAAACCTTAACCGTTACGTTATTTTTGTTTCCAGGCTACCAACATATTAAACTACTAATAATTATATGATCTTGAGTGCCACCAACACGACACGGTTCAACATTTTGTACAACTGACTCATACTTAACACATAGATCTGCAAATTTTGGTACCTAATTTGATTTATTAAATTAATTTGTTTTTCTTTTGTAAAATTAGCGTTAAGTGGTAACTAATCACAGATCTCATTAATTTATATTAATTTTGTTTTTATTAGAAACTGAAGGCGAGTGTTTATAAGGTTAATTTATTTTATCCAAATTGTTAGGTCTATGTTTTGGGTCCAATAATATAATTATGTTAACGCAACTAATACACACGCCTAACACCAACATTCCCCTTAATCATTTGTTATTACTATAGCAATATTTTGACAACTCATTAACATATTTTGTTTTAAAAACCTAATTATTTATAAGCTACATAAATCGATTTATTTTGGTACCTATTAAGTTGATCCCAAAAATCAAAAATATTATTAATATTATACTTGTTGACTTATTTAGTCGCTATTTTGTTGTTATAATTGTATTGCTCGCGAGAGTATTTTCTTTATAATTACATATATGAATTATACATAGTTACTCATTTTGTTAGTGACTCGTTGTAGCTTCTATTGAAGCTTTTTTGACTTAAATAACAGTGTACAGATGCCTTGGTTAATTCATTTTCGTCTTAGTCATTCCTATTCCTATATTCTTTTACAGTTGCTCAAAAATAGCCGCTATGTGGCTGGCAATCTAAATACTGTATAATATTATATATGGATGATAATAATATACTACGTCTATTGTTTTATTATCGAGGCCCTATTTTTGATAATATACGAATAATATTTGTAAACACAAGTTTACCCGGTGTAATTCAATACCTACTATTACTTATTATATGTCTTCCGGAAATAAGACCCCAGGTTTGTTGTACAAATACTCCCAATTAGAATACATGGTATGTGTTTTTTTCCTTTTTGTTTTTCAAATATTTATATATTAATAAACATCATGAGATTAGATACACATAAAACTGAATTAGTTGAGATTTGTTTTATAAATACGAATCCATAATATATTATACTCAGTGTTTGACGCATGGTCATAGTTTAATATTTAATGGAATTGTAGCAACCAAAAAATAAAATAAAATATAATTCTCATAGGTACAAATATAAAAATATTTATAAAAAAATATATATTGCTACATCATCAAAATTGTATATTAATAATCAATCATATACCTATATTAGAGTTGTATTATATAGAATTTATTGTATTAAGTGAGATTAATTTATTTGCTACGGTTTTTTTTATCTTATTTTTTAAAAATGTATTTGTACTGTAATTTTTAAAAAACAGCTCTCATTAAAACAACGTAATTTGACTACTTTGTTTTTTCATGCGATATTAAAAATATACACAGGTACACAATTATTATTATTCATTTCTATATGATCTATAATTCTATATCATACGAGTTATTCTACCTTTTATTTATCTACATTTATAAATACTTATAATTTTGAGTTTTATTATTTTATTTCATTCTCAGGGACTTACTGCCACACTGCAGTAAAATTGTATGTAACATAATATTTATTATAAGGTAACGTGAATAATTTATTGTAATACTTAGTCGTTAAAAACAAAAAAATAAATAAGAAAAAGCTACAAAAAAATTGCAGGTATTGTAAGTATAAAAATAATAATCATATTTTCTTTAAGTAGTATAAATTAACCAAGAACAACTTAGAGAGAAATATATATCGATATAAACAATATGATAATGGTACAAACCCTTTTGTTTAAACAAAATAATATTGACAATTTTGAGTGGACTCCCCTTTGGGAATAAAATTCTTACCCGGAGATCGGAATCCCTCGGAAGTTTATTCTTTCTCATAAATAACGTGCGTACGTGCGTCCCTGAACATTCGCGGTTTAGCACGTTTTAGTGGGATAATAACACACACCGCACGATCAGGAATAATAGGAATGAAAAGCACTTATCAGTTGAGATTAGAAATTCAGGTGCGATGTACATGAAACAAAAAACGTAAGACTTGAAAACAATGTGAAAATAATGCGTTGGTAGTTATTTTATTAAGTAATTACTTTTTTATTTTTTTTTTGCAAAAAAAAAAAACTGGCGGCTCGACCGAGAAAATTATTGCGAGGCTAGAGAAACAAAACGCTTTATATTCAAAGTATAACGTATTAGTATTTAACAATCCATAATGTAGGTGTAAGACGTCCAGTCAACATAAAAACGTTACGTTTTGTTTTATTCGAGCACGATTAATGTTCGGGTGTTCAGCAGTGGGCGTTATGGATATATATATATGGTTGGACCGCGGTTATAACTCGGACGTCGCTGGTGTCTTCGGCCACGCGTTACCGAAACCGTTCGAAATAGTTGTGAATATTGCTGTTTTGCACGAGTTGAATAAATTTCGACAACACTAATTTATCATAATCACGCAGGAACGTCGTGCAGACCGTGAAACTTCCTCGAGACAGAACTTGTTTAAAACGGAAACCTGCGACCAACCGACGTTCTCGGGCCGTTCGTTGCTGACAAGCGATCCATAACCGTGAATGAAATGTTATCATACTGTTACCGCGACAATTGGACCCGTGAAAAACTGCGCACAGTTTTATAGTTTTTATTAAACCGTTAATTGTGCTTCGTGCCGCATAATTTTGTTCGTATCATTTCAATGGGAAATTGAACAATGTTTTGCGGGAGGCGTACACCAAATTGGTTACGTATTCGAGGAAGTGGATTTTGAACGAAGAGGACAATAAACGACGTTTATTAAAATATTTAAATAATTTCACCCGTTGAAACGTTGTATACTCGTCGTATACGTCGTAAGTATAACATATACCCCTCAATCCTTTCGCATAAATATGAATTCATTTTTTTAAAAACTACAAAAAATAAATGTTACTTTTAAAATTATCGAGTCCAACTTAATCCAGTCTATTGACTTCGATTGAATGTACATTAATAAGCTTTTATTGTTGATTGGGTTCGTGCTAACACACTACTGTTCATATTTAACACGAAAGTACATTCATGTACAAACTCCTGCAGTTTCCGATGTGGATAAAATATTCCAACGTCATTTAAACAATATTAAATAATATATTTTAAAACACTGCCGTCTAATTCTAGTCATGATTTCGTTTAAATATTATTTTGAAATCCAACAATACTACACATCTGTATACGTTCGATTTACGCGTGTTTGGTTTTTAGAAGATAAGAAAAAACATAACCATACATCCGTACATATATAACAGTACATCAACCATGAGCCTAGTGGGTATATTCATACGACGCAGAACGATATGCGATGTACGAATTTTCTGTTGGTAATCATACATGCCCAGTATTTATTTCAGACCTTATGTTGCGGTGCGTTATCTTAAATTTTCGGAGGGGAGGTGGTTATACGGTATGCCAAAGGGATAAATAAAAACATTTTTATTGAGGTGGGGAGGGAATAATACCCCTTGATCATCCCCTGAAATAATCACTAAACACTCGTTGAATTAAAAATAAATGATGTTGTATTCGTGATAAACAGTTTTCGATCATCTACTTGGGCATCGCATTACTTATTATCTGTGACACAATGCCGTACAATCCAGCTACGCTGTTGATATTAATCGCATTAGTTGAGTTGTTGGAGGGGGTGCGGACGAAATGCTCGGATCGATCGTTCGGGCGTAAGGAGTACTGTCCGAGTCTATTTTCGTTATCCTTCTATGTAAAATATAAAAATACCATAAATGTATAAATCACGTTGTACCTACGCGTGACGGATGTGTTCCGACTTCTGTAGTCCATGCGCGCCTACATTGTGCTCCGTACATCATACACACGTATGAAGGCGACGATTAATCATTGCGTCGGAAAAAACGATTCGAAGCTCAAATATTATGACGAAGAAAATGTCGCCAATATTTTTTTTTCACGTATCACACTAACTTGCTACATACGCAAACTGGTGTCGTCGACAGCTCGAGTCTCTTCTCCTTTTCAAGTCTGCGGTTAAAACCACTGGGACATATACGCCGGGCGTTATACACGATATATTTGTAAGGGACAATATTATGTAATTGGGCGGACGCGGTTTGACACGTATATGTAAACGGTCACTGTCCTTCTAAAAAACTTTTAATATATTCTCGAACGCAAATCCTGTAAGTGAAGCAAAAAAACCATGCGTTTTTGATCCTTTACATAAATTATATAATACAGTGTGTATAAACATACATAATTATAGCTTTACGAATACTGACATTTTTAAGATATTAATTATTTCCTGGTAATTTTCAAATTTAAAACGAATTATTAAAGTGTATTTAACTTTGAAACTAGTCACAATACTATTCAATGGCGGTCAAGTGATTTTGTCATGGGGGGATGAAGCTGATTTTTTAACAAATACTATATATAAAAATCTTTATTTTTAAACATGGAAATTATATTATATTAATGATATTATTAATTATTATTAATGATATTTATATTATTAAATCTATTTTTCTGGTTTTTTTTGCCAATTCGTCCAGTACTTCATCTGCAGTAATATTGACAACCCCACGATGAACAGCCATAGTGGCTAAACCATTGAGACGACTCTAAAAAAATATAATTACACAATTCATATAATAATATAATATATTATGTTAAGCATTAAGTACTAAATTTAAATTTCATACATTCTTATAATTTAACTATAAAGGAAATTAAAAAAATCTAAAAAGTTTGTTCCAATTAATATTTTAGTGTTTTATGTTTGAACTGTTAATTTTATTCGAGCCTAGAGACTGTATAATAACTAATAAGTACAGTATATTTATTTATTTAAATAGAAAATAGATGAATACCTATATTATATTATGTATAATATGGATGAATTATAAATATTTAAAAAAAGGTCATGGAGGGATCTATTTCCCTCATCCCCCCCCCCCGTTTGACCGCCACTGATACTATTACATAATATTATTACGTATTATTTGTTTTCTGTTGAACTTAATGCTTCTCAATTATTTTTGTATACGTTTAACTGATCTAAAATAAAAACTTAAGACGAATCTGTGATTAACCTAACGCAGTAATGCTGTTAAATATTTTCAATCTTATAAATACTATTATTTACATATTCAATTTATTGATGTAATGAAGTTGGATGAAACCAGTCGATATTTTTTCGTCCAGTTCACAATTAGTGATATATATATATATACTTTTATTTCCAACATTATTTTTAATCGTTCAAATCGGAATATAAGTACAATAATGCATAAACTTCTTTTTTTTTAAATAAAACTTTAATCTCTTAACATTGTATTTGAATAATTTTAGTCCAGACCCGGATTAAAAGGAAAAAGTATTCATTCGATGAGAAGAAACTTCGAAAATTCAAAGAAAAGAAAAGAAATATTTAGTGAAAATTTCTTTTTCTTTTTTTAACAAATTTTTATATTACGCTATCTGTTACAATTAATGAACAATAAGCTTAAGTAATAGAAAAATAATAGAACAAAACAGACAGAGGGAAGAGACCACCCATCGGAAGTACTTTAGCATGATATAAATTTAAAGATTTAATCCTAAAATAATAATAATAATAACAATGATACTACAAT